TCTAAATTAAAATGCTCTCGCTTGTTATTTAAGAAGAAATTATTGTGTGATGTAATCACATGTAATCACATATGTTGGAGGAGGACAGGAAAGGAATAATAATTGTATTGCTTTATTCTTTTTAACATTGTAAGCTTCCCAGACTCATGAAGTCCTCACGTGTACCCGTGCTAGGCTCATAAACATAGTAGACCTGTGCTATAGATTCAGGATTGGCTGCTGATATGTTTCCTGGTACAATATCGAGTGCTGGATGGCCTTAGTTCAGTCACTGTCTCTCAGTCCAACTCATCTGTCAGGGTTGTTTTTGTAGGTATAATAGGAAGAGGTAGATGTGTTGGGTATGTTTGCCTCCTTGAGGTATTTATAAAAATAATAATTAAGGCAGGATACAAATAAAACAAACCTCTTACAGTCCTGTGTTGATAGTAGAAATAAAATGAATTGAAATAAAAGACATTCAGAGAATAAAATTGCCTACTGCTGTAGAATGGAAAAATTGTTGGGGAATGACATATTATCCCCTCTGATTTAATAATATGGATTTCTTACAAAGAAATCAATGTCTAATAGTATATAAAATTAAATTGACTTGTTTTAAAAGTTTGGTTCCACTATGATATGATATGATATCATTTACATGCATTTGAATTTAAGTAACCCCATGAATAAAATCACTTTGCTGATTACATGGCTAAGTTAATCATTAAGTGTATTATATCAGATAATGTCTCCTCAGCTAAAGTGGATCTTTATAATCTAATTTTTTTAAGGGTTGTTGAAAGAAATCCTGATTAAATATTTGACTTAAGAGATGCATTCAGAGATCTTGTTTAGAATATCTACTTAAAAAATTGTTTGCACTTTCTATTTTTGACTTAGACCTACTCCCATGATTCCTTCCCTTATAATTACTGGTATGCCATGTCAAAGGAGCATGGAGGGTTTATCATGTTGAAGAATTATTATGGACTACAAAAAACAACTGCACACCTGCCTGTTTGAATACTGCATCTATAGGCAGAAGGCAATTGTATGAAGGAATGTGGTTTATGAGAGAATATAAATGCCTTTCAGAAGCATACATTGCAAAATTAAATGTACTCCTTTCCACAATAAGAAAGTAATGAAGAATAATTTTAATTTAAAAAAAAAAAAACCTGGGAAGGTTTCCTTCTCTCATTGTTATTCTTGCTGATGTGGTAATCCTTAAACTATCAAAACTATCTGATAATAGAGGTTCTATTACACAATTGCTTATTTTGTGATGCCAATTCCTATGGATTTTATTATGCACGATTTTTAAAAAGTTCATAGAGGAATAGAATAGAATAGAATAGAATAGAATAGAATAGAATAGAATAGAATTTTTTATTGGCCAAGGGTGACTGGACACACAAGGAATTTGTCTTGGTGCATATGCTCTCAGTGTACATAAAAGAAAAGATATGTTCATCAAGAATCATAAGGTACAACACTTAATGACAGTCATAAGGTAAAATAAGCAATCAGGAAATAATATCAGTGTAAATCGTAAGGATACAAGCAACAAAATTACAATCATACAGTCATAAGTGGAAGGAGATAAGTGATGGGAACGATGAGAAGATTAATAGTAGTGCAGATTTAGTAAATAGTTTGACAGTGTTGAGGGAATTATTTGTTTAGCAGAATGATGGTGTTCAAGAAAAAACTGTTCTTGTGTCTAGTTGTTCTGATGTGCAGTGCTCTATAGCGTCATTTTGAGGGTAGGACACTTTATGTCCAGGATGCGAGGGGTCTGTAAATATTTTCACAGCCCTCTTTTTGACTCTTGCAGTATACAGGTCCTCAATGGAAGGCAGATTGGTAGCAATTGTTTTTTCTGCAGTTCTAATTATCCTCTGAAGTCTGTGTCTGTCTTGTTGGGTTGCAGAACCAAACCAAACAGTTATAGAGGTGCAGATGACAGACTCAATAATTCCTCTGTAGAACTGGATCAGCAGCTCCTTGGGCAGTTTGGATATTCTTTGTTGTGCCTTTTGATGACGTTTTTGATGTTAGCTGTCCATTTTAGATCTTGCGATATGGTAGAACCTAGAAATTTGAAGGTGTCTGTTGATACCGTGTTGTCTAGTATTGTAAGAGGTGGAAGTATGGAAGGATTTCTCCTAAAGTCCACCACCATTTCTATGGTTTTGAGTATGTTCAGTTCCAGATTGTTCCCGTCACACTACAAGGCTAGTTGTTCAACCTCTCATCTGTATGCGATTCATCATTGTCTCGAATGAGACCGATCATTGTTGTGTCATCTGCGAACTTCAGTAGTTTAACAGACGGATCATTAGAGATGCAGTCATTGGTATACAGAGAGAAGAGAAGTGGGGAGAGCATACAGCCTTGGGGGGACCCTGTGCTAATTGTACAGATATCTGATGTGATTCTGCTTAGCTTCACCTACTGCTTCCTGTTTGTTAGGAAGCTTATGATCCACATAGAAGTGTGTTCAGGTACCTGTAGCTAGTTTAGTTTAGTTAGAAGAGTGTCTGGAATGATGGTATTGAATGCTGAACTAAAGTCTACAAAGAGGACCCTTGCGTAGGTCTTTGGAGATTCAAGATGTTGTAGGATGTAGTACAGCATCATCTGTTGATCTATTTGCTCAGTAGGCAAATTGCAAGGAGTCTAACAGCAGATCCGTGATGATTTTCAAGTGGGACAGCACTAGCCTTTTAAAGGTTTTCATGACTACAGATGTTAGAGCAACTGGTCTGTAATCATTCAGTTCCTTGATGGTGGGCTTATTTGGCACTGGGATGATGGTAGAGCATTTGAAGCAAGAAAGAACATAGCACATCTCTAGCAATTTATTGAAGATTCGGGTGAAGATGGGGGCCAATTGGTCAGCACAGATTTTTAAGCAAGAAGGAATTATCTTGTCTGGGCCTAGAGCTTTTCCTGGCTTTTGTCTGTGAAATAGGTTTTGCGCTTTCTTTTCTGTGATCACTAGGGGTTGTGAACCCAATGGGATGGGGTCAGTTGTAGGATGCTTGGCGGTTGGTGTGTCTGAGACATCTTCTGAGACACATTCTATTCTATTCTGTTCTGTTCTGTTCTGTTCTGTTCTGTTCTGTTCTATTCTCTATTCTATTCTATTCTATTCTATTCTATTCTATTCTATTCTGGGTGCTTCATCACTGGAGGTTTTTAAGAAGAGAATGGACAGTCACTTATCTGAAATGGTATAGGATCTCCTGCTTGAGCAGGGAGCTGGACTAGAAGACCTCCAAGGTCCCTTCCAGTTCTATTCTGATACATAGGTGACATAGTTCCAAGGAGCCTCTGCTGTTTATAAAAACCGTAATAGCTTTCTGGCATAATCCTTGTTTGCATCACTGGTTCTTTATATTAAAAAAGAGTGCATACAATATTGGTACAGATCAGTGGTGGGTTGCTCCTGGTTCTATCCGGTTGTTTAGAACCAATAGTAAAAGTGGCAGGAGACTCCGCCTACCCACCCAGATGCTCCCGTTGCGAACCGGTAGTAAAAGTAAGTAGAACCCACCCCTGGTACAGATGCTACCTTTTTTTCAAACAAAGGCTTAAGGCTGTAGAGGCTGTGTTATTCCAAGTAAAGTTGTTGATTTGGCTAATTCAGTATGATCTATTTGGATTGGCAAAACTATTTCAGCCTGAGAAAGAGTAACTGTGGTTACCTGATGTTTACTTCATTTGTTAATGGAAATACTCAAGACAGAACTTCAAAACTTCTGTATGAACTTTGGTCTGCCCAATTAGATGTCTTGACCTTAGTTATTCTCCTTTCAGATTGCCTTTCTATCTTTAGGAAGTTATAGCTCTCCTAAAATTAGATTATATAGATACTGAATCACAATATTATCAAGGACTACTGACAGATTGCATGCATTAATCGGATTTAGTTTCCAAAATGTCCATGTATACCCTTAAATCCAAGCCTGTTATTCTATACACACTTGGACACTTTGGAAAACATAATATTTCTTCTGAGAGATATAGAATGCTTGTGTAATTTGCAGGGACTGTATCTTGTTCTGATCAATGCTTAATATCATTGAAAATATAGATTGTGAACATGGCCTATTTTTGTGTCTATTTTATTCTTGTAACACAAGAATTGGCTTCCACAAGAAAGAATTTAAGAATAAGGCACAAATACAACTTAAAGTATGCTTCATATCTTCATTTATGTATTTTGGGATCACATTCTTAATCTCTGACATACTGTTACAGAATGACAACTGTAGCAAAGCAGTGCTTTAAAGAATATGCATAAATCACAGTAATCATTGTAAAATATTGTAGCTTGAATACAATTGTGTCCATTCAGCAGTGGAAAGACTTTTGAACTAGTGGAACCTTGCCTCCAGTGCATCTTCCAGATCCCTTTTGCAATGTTGAAGGACCACTTGGAGATGAGAAAGAGGAGATATCTTATTTTTTGAAAGGAAATAGCAAAATTCTAACACTTTTTTCTTGAGGGGAAATGAATTGGAGAAGAAACCAAATTAGACTAGAACTCTGAAATACTCATGTACAGTCATTAAGGAAATCTGCCTGTTCCTAATAAGCAAATCTATTTTGCATTTTATATGACTTTAGAAAACCTGTCTTTCACTGATTTATTTGTTGACAAAACTGGGGGGGGGGAGGTTTGTTTTGTTTTTTTGATAAGCAACCTAACTTTTTTAATTAAAAAAATTAAGTGAATATGGAATGTGGCACATATGAACTGCAAATAGTTACTCTCTGAAACCTATGCAAAAAAAGGAGATTGCCTTTTGTCACTTCTTCAAGATTAATCACTAAACAAAGGCCTCTCTGACATGTTAAACTCAACATTAAGTACTACTTTAGATGCCTTTCCTCCATTTCAATAACTGCATCATGCAGGTACTTTTATGATGAATTTTATAGCATTCTTGGAATTTCCTTCACTTTCTCCTCTTCTTGCCTTCATGTATAATATTTTCTTGTTTCAGGAGTGTTCTGTTGTAGACATGAATATGTGAATATGTCAAGTATAGTATGCTGTTCAGCTTTCAGTGGTGAAACTAAAGCCCACATTAAAAAGAATAACTCAGTGGCATTAAAATGCTGTGTGACTGAACTTACTCCAGAGAGCGAAGAATGTTGTAATGGACTTGGATATAATCCCTTGAAATATGTTTGCGCTGACAGGATTTCATCTAGAATGATGATGAAGGTAATTGATAGAAAACCTCTTGGTGGTTCTGATTTGACAATGGGAAGAGAAATACATTGTTCATAACTATTTTTGTAAAATAGGAATATAAAAACTCCTCTGTGCATTATTCATTTTCGCATTACATCCATATTAATACCAAATGAGTTTGCCATGATTGATGTTATTGCAGTGAATTCTAAAGGAATTAATAATGATTAGCTGCTTCTTGTAAAGTGTTGTTCAGCACTTCAGATTAGTATAAAGACTAAAAGTTAACATTTTGGCCTGGCTGGAAAATGTGTATATGTATATATAGCAATGTTCAATTGTTTATTTGATTGTTTCATATAGTCAGTGCTTTGCGCATTTTTAAAGTTTGCATGGCTTTGCATGGGCAATAAACATATATGGTACCTATATATGAAGGCGTGGGAATGCCAACATTTATCATTTGAACATTATGGCCATATGAGCACAAGTAAGAAGAAATATTAAGCAGTCTAAATTATCAAATGCTAAAACAAAAATATTTATTAAAATAAAACATCTGTAAAGTCAAAGTCAAAGTTTCCCCTGTCAAGTCATGTCCAATTCTAGGGGATGATGCTCATCTCCATTTCCTAGCCAAAGGAGACAGCATTGTCTGAAGACAATGGTCATGTGGCCAGCATGACTATATGCTGAAGTGTACGGAACACTGTTATCTTCTCAACAAAGTGGTATCTATTTATCTACTTGCATTTGCATGCTTTCAAACTGCTAGTGCTAGGTGGGCGGAACCTGGGGCAAATAACAGGAACTCACCCCATCATGCAGCACTCCATCTTGAACCCAGGCTGTCACCTTTCCATCTGATAAGCTCAGTATCTTTACCCACTCAGCTATGGAATACATATTAAAAATCAGCAAATCAGTGAAGTGTAATGAAGTTAGAAGGTTTCAGAAGGTTTCAGTAAGATCCAATAAATGTATTGGGGCTAAAAGTTTGATACATTAAGATCGGTGCCAGGCAGAACTCTCTTAAGGAAGGGATTCCGAAACTGGGAAACTAGTCATACAAATGACAATCAGTAAGTAGACACCTACTGAATTATAGCATTTGGGAGTTTTTCTCGTTGCTTCCTGTCTCAAAAATGCTAAATACTAATTAAAACATAAAGGTAGTAGGATTTAAAAAGTAAGTCTTTTAAGAAAAATATGAGTAAACTGAAAAAATGATACAACTAAAATATAAGTTGAGATATTGGTATTTCATGAAAGGTACCATTATAAGAGCTTGGAAATGTGTATCAGAAAATTGTCTGTGCATGTCTATTTAAGTTGTTTTTCAAGGTCTTCAAAAGTTTGGGAACTATTGTTATAGATAAAAGAAGAATCGAAATGCATCCCACTGTGTCCTAGATCTACTGAAGAAGTGACATACTGTGGACAGTGTAACTTTGACATGCATACTTGTTTATGTGCTTGGATAAAGAGTTCCCGTAGTTATACCAAAAATAAAGAAAATAAAAGCATATGCCCATCTTTGGAGGAAAAAATTTATACAGGAGGCCCAACTCAGTATTCATTCAAAGGTAAAATAATATGTGATGACTCATTAACTAAAAGTTTTAAATTCTGAAATCAATTCAGTGAAGTATCATGTGGCCTCTTTGGAAACTGTTTTGAAATGAATAAAATATTTTTATCAGTACAGTGATAGATATCAATACAATGCTAATTGGAATAAATATATATTGTAAATGTAGGAGCCTAATTGAATCAAACTAAGAGTCCATCAAACCAAGGGATCACCAAAAATCCATCTCTCTACCTTCATAGACAGCATTGTCTATGATTTCTGAAACAGGACGTCACCTACACCCATCATAATTTATAACTGATTATTAAAATTATATAAACTTTTTGAAATAATGCTTTGCAATGCACAGGAGTGCATATATGATATATTTCTTTGAATCATTAAAGCAGCTGCTTCTTTTTCTAAACTCATATGTCTGAAAAAATATGTATAATCTTGGTTTGCATGCTGTCTCCATAATTTGAAATCTATCGGAGATAGTGGTGCAAATTCACTCCTCAATTATGGGTGCTTTGAGATGAATTGCTCACATCTCAAAGCACCCAAATCTCACATCCTCTTGTGAGCTTAGATATTTTAGATGCTTGGAGTTAATGTATTTAAATTGCCATGATTATTGCTTCAATTACTTCAAAATGCAGCAAAACATTACTTGTTACTTTGGTAGATTCTTCATTTTCATTTTCCCATTTCATGCTCTGGACTTTCAATCCAAAGTCATCCATTAAAAGCATAAGTTTTACTTTCTCCTATTATTACAAGAGAGGAAGAAAAAAATCCATTTTCTTTATTCCATGTACAGTATGTGTAATGAAGTTTTGATTTATGCACCATTCTTCTAAAGTGCAAAGCTTATGGAATGAAAAGATGGATTCACAAATCTGAAAATGAACCAGATTGAGTTAGATATATCTAAATAGAAGTCCAGTATACTTAGCATATAGATTAACAATAAACTCTTGTTATTTTCCTTGTAGATAAGAATCTAGAACCTCATATTACATATGAATACAGGCTAGCTGTATGGAACAAATATGGGAAAAGTTTTAGTGAAATGAACAGTGCAACCACTAAACAAGATGTCCCTGAAGGTGTAAGTCCACTTCATTGGACAAAAGTGGATAATCGTGAAGATGTAATATTTCTAACATGGAAAGAACCTTGTCAACCAAATGGTACAGTATTTTGGCAAACTACAATATCTGATTTAGCATTTACCCAGCACAAGGTATTTTGGGAACAAAAACATTATATACAATGGTGGGATTCAGAGGGTTCACACCTATTCGGGAGAACCGGTTGTTAACTTTCTAAGCAGTTCGAAGAACCGGTTGTTGGAAGAAATCTTATTTTGTTTTTTCCCACTTTACAGGGCTAATCCTGTAAGGAAGGCAGGAAGGAAACGTTCTGGTGGTGTTTCTAGCCTAATCTTTATTGCCCTGCTTACAGAAACTGCCTCTACAGTTAACCCTTATTACATTGTAACAGCTAAGGTGAAGTGTCCATTGATGTGAGTGACATTGAGTTGGTCACGCCCACATGGTCATCTGACCCCCAAGCCACTTTACCCAGCTGGTCAGTAAGGCAGACAACCGGTTGTTAAATTATTTGAATCCCACCACTGATTTTATATACACACACACACACACATGTACGTACATGTATACATACATGCTTCAAATTCAGAAAGTGTTCAGATGCACAGGAGTGTGAACATAGCATCTGTCCATAAACCTTTAAAGCAGCTGTTCCTTTTCTTGGGGTAGCCATGTATTTCCCAATAAAGGCACAGTTCCTTTGAAATTCTACTGTCAAGTGCTATATTCTCCCTCCTCCACATGCTCCAAAGCACTTTCTAAATTATTTCTAAATTCTGAAGTGTTGCACTTCAGAAATGTGACTGTATGTGGTTTTGTTTATTCATTCATACTGGTGAAGAATAACAACTTTAATTACTGGAACCAGTTCCAATTTTTCATCTTCACTAGAAAAAAAAAGTGCAATATACAGTATTTGATAAAATGTAGTTCTACTTTTTCCCCTGCCTTATCATATTGGCATCTTGTTCATGACATTCTCCAACCCACAACTTTACAGTAGCACATTTGAATGTAAAGTTACATTATGGTGAATGTTGTATGAACAAATCCTGGGCTGTTGTACTGTCTTTCTCTTCTCTGGCATAGATGCAATGAAGAATTTAAAATTGGTGCTCCTGTTTGTTTGTTTGTTTGTTTGTTTGATTCATTCATTCATTCATTCATTTATTAGATTTGTATACTGCCCTACTCCCGAAGGACTCAGGGCGGTGAACAGGCACAGAATAAAACACATAAATACAAAAGTTAAAAAACATAATTAAAACCAAATTAAATAATTTCGTCCGAGACAATTGAAATTCCCAATAATTTAAAAACAAATTAAAATTTCAGTTTAAAACATTTAAAAGAAAGGGGAGAAAATTAGGCCAGGCCGGCCTGCTGGAATAGGAGGGTCTTAAGAGCACGGCGGAAAGTGCGCAGATCTGGGATCCTCCGTATCTCCAGGGGGAGCTCGTTCCAGATAGTAGGTGCCCCCACAGAGAAGGCCCTCCCCCTGGGGGCCGCCAGTTGACATTGTTTGGCTGATGGCACCTGGAGGAGCCCCTCTCTATGAGAGCATACCGGCCGGTGGGAGGCTGTTTGTGGTAGTAGGTGGTCCCATAAATAACCAGGTCCTAAGCCATGGTTGATTGAAGTGAAGGCCATCTTCCTATACTATATTGTAGATAATATCATAGCTCACAAAAATCTATGAAGTTTATAAGACATTGTTGAAACTTACATTTTTTTCAATTAAAATCACTGACCACTATCGCTCTATATTAAGATATAACTTTAAAATTTAATTAATTAAAAATTGAAAAAAAAAAGATGCAAATCTCCAGAAGAAGACAATGGTAAACCATCTCTATATTACTGCCAAGAAAATTACATGGATATGCCCACAAAGTAACTAGGAGTCAAATTTAATTTGAAAAAGGAGAAGATGAAATAATGTAACCAGAACGTACAGACCTAAAATTCATTCAGGGAATTGTAATGATATATCCAAACAAGCAAAAAAGGTCATCCAGTATATTATTTATTCTTGGTATCAGGTTATGGTTCAAGCATATCTTTTTCTTATAGAATTGTTGTAATACTTTAGAACTTTAGTATATAATTATCTGGCATACATTTAATTCAAATGAGTGTTTTAATTCCCTTCTTTATTAATAAGGTATCATCATTTATTATATTATTCTCCAAAACGGAGTTGAACGTTTCAGAGGAAAGGAACTGAACTTCATGGATACCAGTGATATTCAACCATACCAGGAATACTCATATTTCTTGCGTGCTTGCACTGTGGCTGGATGTTCAGACAGTAGCACGGTAGGTAAATCTTTCAATAAGTTGGTGACAGCATATCTTTTCATTCATCATGTTGTAGCAACCTTCAGGTGAGAACTGAAAATATGGAAACATTAATCTTTTGTCTACATATGTTGATATTTTCAGAGAAACTCTATCAGCCACCTTGTGCTGTAGCCCAGCACGAGAAATGGGAGAAGTCAACCAGTTTGGTCAAACAGCATGTAAAGTCATACTCTGAATTTTTAGCTCTGGTTGATGAAATCTTTTAAGTGAACTTCAAAGAATAGGCATTGCCTGGCTTGGGAACTAAAAAAAAGAGTTGTCACACTGACATTGTCTTGATCACTTGTATCTCTTCTAATACAAGAGCTGATGAACCAGCTGCTCTCTGTACACCAGGAAACTGTCCTTAGCTCTGGAAGTTAAGGAAGAAACAACAATTTTTTTCAATTGGCATCCCTAGACAATACTAAAGGTAGCAGGACTAAAATGTTTATGCCAATAGTTGCTCATGATTCATGTCACATGATATGAAACTGTTAACCATATGGAAAGGAATTAGCCAGCATTCTCTGATAAGACAGTCTGCCTTCCAAAAGTTCCTTTCACCTATCAAAATACAGAGAATCTGTTGTGATAAATTGTATACCTAGATTCATACGGAAATACTATATTCAAGGTCAGATTTCACTCTGAGGGAAAAAAAATTACCTTAGAAGAAAAATAACTTGTTCTACAGAGAGCCATGGTAATGATATGCCAAAGCAAACAACAATATTTTAAACTAGAAGTGACATTCTCATTGATCAAGGTATCTTGTGTACTATTACAATAAATTGCTAATTTTTTGCATTCAGGTAATTGCAGTCACTGTCCAAGGAATTCCAGAGAATGTTCTGCCACCAACAATTATACCTCTAAATGCAACAACCTTGCATTTGAGTTGGGTGGCACCAAAGAAGCCAAATGGTTTAATCAAAGAGTACCTCATCCATCGAATTGGAAGGGGACTTATATGTACCAGCCCTGCAGACCAGGTACAGCTCACCATCACAGGTAAGAGTAGAAAGTTCTTCAAGCAAATGACACCACTGTTTTATTTAACTGGTCTTCTTATGTTAGCTTGTTTTTTAAAGACTGCAATTCTTACAATGAGCAAACCCTTTAAGTGAATATATCAATTGGATTACAATTTCAGAACACCAATGGGAGGGGGAATAGCAATTTTTGAATGTCCTTACAAATGTTTATTAACCCTTAATTAATAAGGTTTTCATCATCCTAGCATGATAATAATAATGAACAATAATGATTAATTTTCATCGCCAATATTTTTATTTAAGAACTTACCAACCACCTTTAGAGAAGTATATTGTTATTATCGTTAGTTGCACCATCAACCAGATGTTGAGATAGGATTTGGCATTTTTATTCACCTATTGAGTTCTTCCCAAAGACCTGGGATAGGCAGATGTTGATATTGGATGGTCTAAAAATTATCATCACAGGATGTAAACTGCTCCAAGTAAAGATGCCTTTTGGAATTGACTGATGGTGATTTTGTCAATGCTGATGCTGCTCAAGTGGTGCTGTAGAAGTTTTGGGATAATACCCAAGGATCCTATTCCTTTCTGATAAGGACCTAATTAAAAACAAATGAAGTAAAGCTTCCCTGAAAGCTGGCTTATCTGCAGAGAACCAAGTCCCTGTCACCGGTATTAAGATTGCAATTAACAAATTGTCAGTAGTCAATTAACAAATCAATTTTTCTATGGTGCAATATCAGATTCCACAAAAGACATTGGCGAGAATAGTAATAAGATTATCCAAACAATATTTTCCAGAGATTTTTGTAGTCCTTTCTACTGTATTTTGAACTATTGTGTCTTTCATTAGAAAGTCAGTGATGATTTTTACAAATTCTTTTGTCAAACTTGAAAAAACTTAATCCAAAATATAACTTGTCATAGCACCAACGCCTGGATTGCGTTAACTCTTGCATTTCTCCCTAGCTTTTAAAATACTTGAATAGCTTTTGCAATAACTATTATTGCTTTGTCATATTATTTAGTATAAAACAAAATGCATTAGCCAACAGCCAATGAAAAAATGGAACAAAGGTTCTGCTTAAAATTTCCCATTTGCATCAGTGCCTGGTTAAAAAAGCTTAAAAACAAAAATATAAAAGTGACATTTTCCCTTTTGCTACAGTTTTGTGCAAAACTAGGATTTCCCTTTATCCCCGAATTTTATAATTTAAAGGGGGGAGGGGTTGCAATGCCATAGCAGTTGCCAATGCATATTTATTCTTCTACACACTTCGGGTTAAAGAAACATCATTCCTTTAATGTAGCAAAGAACCCCACCCCTTTCACTGATCAAGGCAAATTTGCTTTTTCATCTCAAGGAGTGATTGTGCTTCTGGAACGTGATAATTATTACTCTGTAAATTCATGATGTTCGCTAAATCAACTGTACTTATTTCACATAGCTCAACTGTTTGAACTACCCATCGTTCCAGCTCCCATGGGCCTATGTTTTGATTTTCTCATCTTCTTCTAAAACCTCTGCTGTTCCCAGAGCAACAGTTGAACATTAATGAAGCTGTAGCATTAAGCTTTCCCTGAGACTTTGAATCCAAGGGCCTTACAAATTGCAGATGAGGCAGCTTGCACCTTGCCACTGCACCATTGTCTCACTGCTTATTTTTAATTACATCAAAGCTTTGGAAACATGATCCCATAAATGCTTGATGGGAATTGTGGTGAATGTGTTCATCATGTGAAATCCATAAATTGCTTATAATCCTCTCAAGATGTTTAAAAAAAGCATTAAGTAATTGAAGACAGGAAGTCCTGAGTTAATTATTTAGAGGTGTTATCAGTGCTTTAAGTAAACTGAAGCATTTTCCACTATCGCCCTGACTTGAATGCCATTGGGATCAAGGGGCACCAGCCATCATCTTCTCATGTTCTCTAATGCAAACAGCAAATGGCAGCTTGTCAATAAAAGACCTTTTTATATCATTTATTAGTGAACACTTCCAGTAGTCTGTACAGAAGAATTTGGATGACAGTTATTGCATTGTTTCACTTGGTGTTACAATTCCTTTACAAATAACATTTCTAACACAATGCTAGGAGGATGAGAAGAGCCTGAAATATTGGAGGGAGCGGAAGTATTAAAAGAAAACTAAAACTGCCCATTTCAGTATCAAAATCAAAGTCAGAAATTCATTTTTCAAAGTCTAATTTTAGATTTTAAGTGTTTCTAGAACTTATGGGATGGATAGAGGGTGTAATATTTTTCACTAAGACTTTAAAGTTGGTTGAATAGTTTTTAATATATAAATCACATATGTTGTACACATTTTGTGCCAGAGTACCAGAAGATTTTCACAATTCTGTTCTTTAATTCCCATACGGTAGGCAAATGCCAAGTTATATAAAACCAGTAAAAATTCCTATACTATCCTAAGCCATTGTGGCATATGTTTCTGTGGACCAGGTACTAGTTCTTAATTTCAGCACTGCAGGCTTTAACTCATAAAAGATTTGATAGATGAGTACCTGTATTAAGAATGTTTGCAAAATAGATATAGCCTTAGAGAACTGCAAAAGAAAAAAGTGTAACTCTCACCATTAAAATCTTGGTTATCCAATAAATTGCACCAATGAGCTTATGACAGATTGTAATATCTAGCATATTCCTCTATTTAATTTAAAGAGTGAGAGATGCCAAACATGCAGTCTGAAAGAATGCAGGTATAGTTGCTTTTTCAATTTTTTAATTTTTCAGAACATTAAAAACTCAACCCTCTTGAGTTGCAGTCTGGTTTCTAAACATTCCTATGCTCACAAAGAAATTTCAAGATTTGGTATTTTAAAGGGATGGGAGGGGAAAAAAAGAGAGAGGAAGGCCTCATTTACCTGCAACATTAAGCCATAGATTGATTTTACAAGAATTAGCCACAGCAAGTGATTGGCTTATATGGTATCTCCCTTATTTTAAATTAATTGCTTCTTGAGGCTCTAGAAAGAGTGCAGAGAAAAACAACAAAGATGTTTGGGGGACTGAATGCTAAAACGTATGAAGAATGGTTGCAGGAATTGGGTATGTCTAGTTTAATGAAAAGAAGGACTAAGGATGACATGATAGCAATATTCCAATATCTAAGGAACTGCCACAAAGAAGGGGAGGTCAACCTATTCTCCAAAGCACCTGAAGGCAGGACAAGAAGTAATGGATGGAAACTAATCAAACTTATCAGGGTCACTCAGATAACAGATAAACCTCCAAGTGCTTCAACGACCCTCTAAAAGGATGCAGACTACCAACTGTCTGCAAGGAATATAAATCCTTCCATTCCCCACTATCCTGTCAGAGCTGAAGAAGCTTCTTGAATGAGAAGCAAAACATCTTCAAAAGAAAAAACAAGAAAGTCCAGTTGCCTCCTGAAAAAGCACCTTTGGGAAAACCATTTATTTATTTATTTATTATTCATTTATTAGTCGCATTTCTATGCCGCCCAACTCCCTAGGGACTCTGGGCGGCTTACAGCAAAAAAAACAAAAAAACAATGCAAATAATATCCCGTAAATTTTTTTTAAAGAACATTAAAAACCCATACACTCCATTCCATGGCTGGGTCTCGCAAGATCGCCGTAGCGAGATCAACGGCCCTAGGCCTGCCGGAAAAGCCAGGTCTTCACTGCTTTCTGGAAGGCCAATAGGCTGGGGGCGGTCCAGACCTCAGGAGGTAATTGGTTCCAGAGAGCCAGGGCAGCCACAGAGAAGGCCCTCCCTCATGGGCCCGCCAACCAACATTGTTTAGCTGACAGGATCCGGAAGAGACCAACTCTGTGGGATCTTACCAGTCGATGGGAGCTATGCGGTAGAAGGCGGTCTTGAAGATAGCCTGCCCCTGAGCCATGTAGGGCTTTAAAGACCTTGAATTACATCCGGAGACTGATAGGGACCCAAGTACTTCAATGACCCTCTAAAAGGATGTAGATTACCAGCTGTCTGCAATATAAATCCTTCCATTCCCCACTATCCTGTCAAAGCTGAAGAAGCTTCTTGGATGAGAAAATAATAGAATAGAATAGAATAGAATAGAATAGAATAGAATAGAATAGAATAGTTCGAATGGACTTTGGAGGTGTTCTAGTAGTCCAACCCCCTGCTTAGGCAGGATACCCTATACCACTTCAGACAAATGGTTATCCAATCTCTTCTTTAAAACTTCCAGTTTGGAGCATTTACAACTTTCTGGAGGCAAGTTGTTCCACTGATTAATTGTTCTAACTGTCATGAAGTTTCTCCTTAATGTCTTCAAAAGAAAAAACAAGAACAGTTGCCTCCTGAAAAAGCAGGTCCAACATTGGAAGTTTTTAAGAAGAGATTGGACAACAATTTGTCTGAAATGGTATAAGGTTTCCTGCTTGAGCAGGGGTTTGGACTAGAAGACCTCCAAGGACCCTTCTGTTATTCTATTATTCTTGTGACATCAAATAGAGCCAAACTATGATTTATCTTCTCCAGAAAAAATCCAATTGTGGACTATACAAATTTATGAAGCTGGTTCATTTCAGCAAATCATAATTAACAAGAATATCAAAGTAGACTTCAGATAACTGATAAATTACCATTAATAAAAAATGTAAACAAATGTCTCTGATCTTTTCGTCATCGCCATACTAAGTAAGAAGTAGCATGGGGAGTTAAGAATACCTGAGTTTAAGGGTTAGTCAACTCATGTTCTTCATTCTGCAACATTAAGCCATGGATTGATTTTACAAGAACTAGCCACAGCTAATGTAATATTTTGTCTGACTATTACCAAACAAGACAAAGAAAAACATTTGCAAAGAGAGACTATGTCCTGACTATTCATTCTGTTTTCCTCATAATTTCTCCAAAGAAATATTACTCACTTATTTTTATTAGTACAAGATTTATACCAAAGCTTCTCTAGAAATTCAAGAGGCTTATGGAATGACAATCATAGAGAGTAATTGGGACATTCATTGACATTTGAGAAAAAAACAGAAGACGAGACAAGATACTCTATTTCTATCAGAATGCATTAATTCAAGCTTCTGCAGAATTAATTCCATAAAAAAATCCAGAGGAGGCAGACTTTATGCTGGAGGAGATCCTAAATTCTAAGTTACTTTTAATAAGCAGAATAATCCCCACTTCAAATGTTATCAGTTCCATGGTGAAGTGATCTTAAGTGTGCCACTATTCCTCTGATTCTTTTTCTGACTGGAATAATATTGCCTAATCTCATCTGAATGTTCTTAGAGTTTACTGCATAATGTGTATGATATATTTTGTATTCATCTTCATCATGATCATCACCATCACCTGTATTAAAACTCACTATTGGTTTTGTACAATAGGAACCTTCTCAGTCATGGAATATAGTTATGTAAATTAGAATGTTCATCTCTAAGGCGATACACAAGTTAGCATGAAATTGGTTGAGGCAGGCAATTTTCCTTCCTATATACTTATTGTGTAAGGAAATGCTCAACACAAGAGAAGGGTGCTATACAAATCTGTTAGAGATGGCATGCTGAATTCTGCTGAGTTGGAACTCAGTGTCCCAAGTTTCCTTGAAAAGAAGAGCCCTTTGTTAATCGCATAGGAAAAAGAATGCTTAAAACACAAGTGCATTGAGCTTTTGCACATATTGAACTCTTCTTAGATGTTGAATATTTTCAGCAAGAATGCAGAATTAAAAAGACTTCTAAAGCTTCTTCCAGGCTAACGTATCTCTACAATTTCAAGGAGACTAATGAAACAATTTTTTTTAAAAAAATTCCTAATGCAATTTCTCAAGTTCTCATGTCCAAAATTTTAATGTGGGAATTATTATAAACCTTATGCGTGTACTGAGGCTTGTAAACAGAACACAACAAAATTGTAATCCAGACTTCCTTGTTATCGCTGTGTTTTAATATCAGACGAATAAATAACAAAAACAGGATGCTTATACCCTGATGCATTTAGTGCAATATGTACTTCTTTGCCTGCCTTTTATTTTATTTTTTTTTCTCTCTCTCTATGGTATACTGCTGTAAATTAATCTTGCTTCATAATAAATGTTTCTTTTTAGTAGTGAATTAAATGATTCCCTTTAGGAACAATTGGAGTTGCCTATTGCTAGAATAATCTGTCAAATAGCGAAATGTTGAATATTTGGCTTCTATCCATACCTTCTTTCTCTTTTTAACTCTGGTGTTTATGAAAATAATACAGAAATAATTCTCTCGCTTCTTCTGTTCTAGTTAATAATTGTATTAATACAATTGTATTAATAAATTGTATTGTCCAGCCTGTCCTCTTGACTCCTGTCTTGATTTTACATGTGTGTTTTTTTTCCTCTTCAATTTAAAAGAAATACAGAGTTCCAGTAACTATTTACTGTTCTTTTCTTTCTGGTCTTTTGGAAAAAGCTGAAAGCTATACAACCATTTGAGAAAGGGAGAGGGGTGAAACAATGAGGTTGCCATTTTACCAGTTTTAGTCAAAGTGCTACTCCCCACAGTTTTCTTCTCTTTCTCGTCATAGAATTCCATTGTTTGTTTTTTTCTTAAAGTAGTTGCAATGCAAAGATAAGACAGAGCTGGATCCCTCAATGACAAAAACAAGGAAGATTGGAAGGAAAGAATAGAATGAGGGCAGAAGTCTACTAGCAGTTTTGGAGCTCATAATAAAGAAAATCAAGAAGCTTTCCTTTCTTGATAACTGCTTTTCGAAACATATGCATAAGAAAGAATAGATATCTACATATTTATAAATCAGTTTTCAAAGGTTATGTTGAATCTTGCAGGATTTTATGGTAGAGAAATGCTGAAGCATGTTCACAAGGAACAATAGGAGGTAATTGTGATTTAGGGTATAGAAATAGGAGAAGACTTTTAAAACTGCTACTGAATAGCAAAAGAGAATGGGTTTGGGAATAGACGCTAACAGACATTTAATGACTATAAAATAAATAGTTTTACTTAAAAAATCAGTTAGATCCATTCTCTAAACTTGGAGACATGCAGGTTTACGTGCAAAAGCTAAACATACCTATTTTATGGAATTGGTAAATAGTTAAAAGTAGTGGCAGCTATTGTTTGAATTTAAAAAGGACAAGGAAAACTTGACTGTCACTGAATGAAACATCAGAAACAAAAGGAGTGATATTTTTAGGAGAAAAAATCAGCACTGGAAACTCTTTTGGCTTATAGCTCTTCTTGTGGTTTCTTAGAGGCAATTGGCTGAAATACTTATTATCACTTTTGGAAAATCATGTGTGCTTCAAAAAAAAATGCAGTTATCACTTTAGGATATATGAAGATTTAGCTCTCTGAGTTGACCAGAATTTAGCACCAAGAATCTGAGAAAAGAAGAACTAGGGCTGACATGACAGCAGTATGTGAGGATAATTAACTAGTGGAACAGCTTGCCTTCAGAAGTTGTGGGTGCTTCATCACTGGAGGTTTTTGAGAAGAACCTGGACAGCCACTTGTCTGAAATGGTATAGGATCTCCTGCTTGAACAGGAGGCTGGACTCCAAAGCCCCTTCCAGCTCTTTTCCATTCTGTTCTATTCATTTCCAACCCTTCTCTCCTAAGAAACAGAATCATTCAGTGATTATCTGCTTCTTCCCTGTAATGTAATTCTTGGAGAAAATAAGGGAAAGTTTACTCATCTTACTTTAATTTCAGCCACTATTTGCTTCAGTCTTCTCTCATGTGGCTTCTAACAAATTACTTTGAAGGGAAGGTGGCTCTCAACAGCAAATAGGTTGCCATGTTTGATTTATTATTGAAGAAAAGGAATATTTTGAATTACTTTGCTCATTTTCAGCATTCTCTATGATCCCTGATATCCAAGTTAATAATTATGTTTATATAGCTTGGGTTGAACATCCAGATGATGATGGTGTTATACCTTTAGTCGAGTCTGGCTGTTGGTAATTCTAGAGGCCAGGTCTCTCCATATATTCCAATCTTTCACTGTTTCTTTGAGTTGTTTTATGCTTTGACTGGTGACAGCTTTGATAGTATCCAGCCACCGTGTATTTTGATGGCCTGGTTTCCTGTTACCATTGAATATCCAAGATATATGAATAAACATTCATATACAATTTTAAAAACCACGAATGTAAATATTTTGGGTTAAGTATATTCTATTTTCTCTCTCATAGAACTCTAACCTAAAAAATATCTGTAGGTTTCATCTTTTTTACATTTATTTAGATCTTCAGCCTTATGAAAACTACAACTTCACACTCACAGCATGTACATTTGCTGGTTGTACTACCAGTCAGACAACTTCAGGTAGAACATTGCAAGCTGCTCCTCAAGGTAAAGACTAATTTATTAACATTTAAACCATTTATATATGAGAAGTAGACTCAGGGCACTATATCTAGGCACTGATTTTAAACAAAAACAACTCTTCAACTCCTTGTTTGTTCAGTCAAAAAGGAATTATGTTCAAATGGATCTAAGCAGAAAAATTGAAAAAACGATGGAATGGCAACCCAAGGTAAATTTAAAAAATGTTTAGAGAACACCTGCCTAACATTCTTAGTCGTAAGCCACCTAGAGATATTTGGGAGTTGGACAATCTATAAATTAAGTGAAAGACAGGAAGGAAGGAAGGAAGGAAGGAAGGAAGGAAGGAAGGAAGGAAGGAAGGAAGGAAGGAAGGAGGGAGGGAGGGAGGGAGGGAGGGAGGGAGGAAGGAAGGAAGGAAGGAAGGAAGAAGGAAGGAAATTGTGGTAGAAGTGAACACACAGATGCAAACACTTAGAAATAAACTTTATTTATAGACCATTTAAAAGAGACAATTAACAAGCTAAGAAGAAAAACAGACAACCAGAACAGCAACCAACAACCACATAAGTAGAGATTAACACCAGAAAAACTGAAGCTATACTCTAATCAAACAACTACCAAGGACAAACCACACCCACACCAAGACTGGCAGGGAGTAAACTCCATACTCCCTAGCACTAATGGTATTACCTATTCAGGTAATGAAACATCTGGGAAAATAAACGAAGTGTAAAGGACTCCCTAAGTGTATGTCTCCAGACCTCCACATTGTATTATGTGGGAAAGATCTCAAATCCTTTTGTCAATTAATTTCATTTTCAGCAATTTCTTTACCCACACAATCCTGAATAGTGCACTTTGTCACTGTAAATGTGTATATGTGTTAGTATTAAGTAACAAGAATGCATTGAATGATGTCAGTGATGATACAAGGAGTGAAAATTTTTCATATATGTAACCAATCTCCCACAAATTGAAAATATGGAATGAGGCCTAACTTTTGTCAGTCACTCCCTTTAAAGTAGTTTTTCTTTTTATTGTTTTTGTAAACTTCATTTTCCAAAATAAAAATATAAAAACTATAAATTGCTAATTATATTCCCCGCAATTGATATTTATGTAAGGCTACTGACCACGTCCTCTTACATTGATCCATGTTAAAATAAAGTGTCCTGAGACATAAGCTAAAAAACTGTCATATATCTAAGTCAATCCAGTTAGTTCTGTAAAATGTGCTAATGAACTGGACAAGAACCAATAATTTAATTTTAGCTCATGCAAGACAGGCTGTTGATATGTCTGCCTGGACTGTGGGCAGGGGGGATCTCAAGAAGCTATATTTTTATATATTTATAAAATATATCTACTATATCTTTCCTAAAACAAGTAGAAGTTGGACGTATCTCGTAATGCATCACTAGCATAAGGTACATCTGTGGCACAAGACAAATTATCCTGGTGTAAACTGGTAGCATTTTGTGTAACTAAAGCTAAGCAAGATGCCTTGGCCTCAAAACCTCATATCCTTTTTACTTTCATACTACAGATACTACAGCAGACTATTTTGATTTGGAAATGTAAAATGTCTTTTAGTGATGGTTCAGAAAGATACAATTGCAAGGCTGTTAATTAGGACATCATATTTTGGTAACTTTTTACAGAATATATATAAGCTGCCATGTACACTAAGATCCTCAAAATGTGATCTTATTTTGCCCTTTTTTTTCTGAGGCATGCAAATGTTAAAAATGGAAAAGGCTTATTCAGTTGTGATCCATGATTTTAAAATCTCTCCCAAACAAACTTCATCTAGTTATTACCTTGATGTTATTTAATAATTAATCAAACATTTATTTTTATTTTTTATGGAAGGATAATCTTTTGTACACTGATTGAATGATGATTAATGAATTTTGTATTGCTATATAGGTCTTTTATATTGTGTACTTTGGTACTTTTGCTGTAGTTTAGTATTACCTGAAGAAGGAGTAGTATAATTTTAAGGTTGAAGGTTAACTGTAAGAGAAATGAATTTATTTAAAAAAGTAGTAATTCTAAAGATAAATCTGAAATGAGCTTAGTTTTTTATGTGTTAACATATTTTAATACATTTATAAAATTAAATATATACAAGTATCATTATAAACAGTTTTGCTAATGTAATTGCAGGGGTATGGTCACAGCCTCGTCATATTACAGTAAGCTCTAACGTAGTAGAATTGTATTGGGATGAGCCAGAGAAAAAAAATGGAATTGTCATTCAATATAGATTATTTTGTAATGGAGAAGAGATTTTCAAAGGTGGTGGAGAAAATCTGAATTTCACTCATTCCGCCATGCAACCAAATAACAGGTAAAATGTCACTTATTTGAGAAAGGATGTAGTTTAATTTTTTATAATATATATATTGATATATCATACCTTAACCAACATTTGGGCCCAGCTCAAGGACTATGCAGAGATGTAGATTTGATGGGCAATGTATCATTTGGAACATACATGGGCAGGCATTTAGCATCCATTGGGATCACCTTAAACAAAACATGTCCTTTCCAAGGATTTGGTACCTGCTGTAGATGGCAGCCACACAAGCCCAGGAAAGGAGAACTGTTTTAGGAGCTTCCAGTTGGGGCTCCATCCATGCCTTTGTGTGCTCCAAATCACATTAAGCCTTTGAAAGCACAGCCTAAATTGTTGGCCCCAGCATGAATGTCTCATGTAAATAAAAATTGTAATCAAAATGACACTGAATACAGTTCCCCATGAACTTCACGTAACGATACCTATATAGATTGTAGAAAACAAGTCTTACGGGTAACTAATAATTAGCCCATTGGGCTTTCCAGAAGAGCTTTCACTTAGTCACAAATATAAGGTGACCAGATTTTAATATTGGTAAAGAGGGACATTGTGGGCGTGGCTTATTTTGTGGGCGTGGCTAGCTGGTCATGTGACTGGGTGGGCGTGGCTAGCTGGTCATGTGACTGGGTGGGCGTGGCTAGCTGGTCATGTGACCGGGTGGCCATGGCTATGTATATAGGGTAAGGTGAACAGATTTTAACATTGGTAAGAAGGACACCATTGTGGGCGTGACTTATTGTGTGGGCGTGGCTTGGAGGCCATGTGACTGGGTGGGCGTGGCTAGCTGGTCATGTGACCGGGTGGCCATGGCTATGTGTATAGGGACTACTCAGAGGGCTGAAAAGTCATTTCTGACAGGTCCTCACACTTTTGACTGGTCCTCACACTTATGACCATCCTCATATTTATGCCCATGCAGCATTCTTAACAACCATGTCACTCATTTCACAACTGCTTCTCTTCACCATGATGACAAGATAGGGCAAAAATGTAAAATGTGAGGACAGTCGTAAGTTCGAGGACTGGTCAAAAGTGCGAGGACCAGTCAAAAATAACTTTTTCAGCCCTCTGAGTAGTCCATATGCACAAAAGGACTAACCAGAGGGCTGAAAAAGGTCATTTCTGACAGGTCCTCGCACTTTTGACTGGTCCTCACACTTATGACCATCCTCACATTTATGCCCGTGCAGTATTCTTAACAACCATGTCACTCATTTCACAACTGCTTCTCTTCACCATGGTGACAAGATAGGGCAAAAACGTAAAATGTGAGGACAGTCGTAAGTTCGAGGACTGGTCAAAAGTGTGAGGACCAGTCAAAAATAACTTTTTCAGCCCTCTGAGTAGTCCATATGCACAAAAGGACTAACCAGAGGGCTGAAAAAGGTCATTTCTGACAGGTCCTCGCACTTCTGACTGGTCCTCACACTTATGACCATCCTCACATTTATGCCCGTGCAGTATTCTTAACAACCATGTCACTCATTTCACAACTGCTTCTCTTCACCATGGTGATAAGATAGGGCAAAAACGTAAAATGTGAGGACAGTCGTAAGTTCGAGGACTGGTCAAAAGTGTGAGGACCAGTCAAAAATAACTTTTTCAGCCCTCTGAGTAGTCCATATGCACAAAAGGACTAACCAGAGGGCTGAAAAAAGTCATTTCTGACAGGTCCTCGCACTTTTGACTGGTCCTCACACTTATGACCATCCTCACATTTATGCCCGTGCAGCATTCTTAACAACCATGTCACTCATTTCACAACTGCTTCTCTTCACCATGGTGATGGTGATAAGATAGGGCAAAAACGTAAAATGTGAGGACAGTCGTAAGTTCGAGGACTGGTCAAAAGTGTGAGGACCAGTCAAAAATAACTTTTTCAGCCCTCTGAGTAGTCCATATGCATAAAAGGATACAGCAATAGAGAGGGATGAAGGAAGGGAAGGGAAATTAGAGTAGGAGTGAGGGTAAGAGGGGGAGGAAGAGAGGAGGAGAAGGAGAAAGGAAGAGGAAGTAGGGAGGAGAAGAAGAGGGGAGGAAGAGAAAGTAAGAAGGAAAGAAAAAAGAGAGGTGGTAGGTTTGAGGAGAAAGATTGCTGTACAATAAAAAAGATGAAAGGGAAGAAAGCCAACCCCAAACAAATATAAAGATATTAAGATAAAGAATGAATGGTTAAACTTTAAAGAATAAAAGAGAACAAATATGAATAAATAGCAATAATTAGAAACACACATACAAACATACAATTTATTTTCTTTGAACAGAGTATTTGGCCGGTTCACAAATTTAAACAGTGTTTAGTCACTTCAATTAAATTTACAATTTCTATATTTCCTTTTTGCCATATTTATTCCTCATCTATTTTTTTAAAAAAACCAATATTATCCTTCATCCTCATCTCTAATCTTAATCAAATTCAATTTTTCCCTTCTATTCTATATTATACCTCTTCCCATTGTCATCTATTTTTATATCCATCCTCACATTGTTTAATTATGTAATACAGTTGTTTAATACAAATTCAACATTTTAATATAAATCAATTAGTTATATAACTATCTTTTTTGTATATTAATCAATATGAACATGAATATTCCAATTATTTCCATGCAATCCAATTTCTTACAAATCAATTAATTATATTTACCAATAATAATAAACCAAATAATTTCCCCCATATATTCCTCAGAACCACAACTTAACCATTTCTGCTTTCAACACAATATACAATTAATAGTATCTCAATTATTACAATTCCCTAATTAAATAGAGCTTTTTTTCTTTTGTGTTTTAAAATCTTGAACTCTCCTCCTAAATTTCCCATTGTTTGCAGTTTTTCACCTACCTTTTTTTGGGAGGAAAAATAAAAATAAAAATAAATATCTCTCTGCCTCATTTTGTCACGTTGCACCAAAGATCCTGGTTTCGGTTTCGTTTCTGCAGCTTAGCTAGGGGGAAAAAAAACTGTTTCAGGAACTCTTTACACTGATTGCCTGTAGGGCGGCCCTTTGAAGCCCCGGGCAAGAGTTTAAACAGTTTTTTTTTCTTCTAGCCATCAGCTGGGGCTCAAGAGGCAGCGGGACTCAGGAGGCAGAATGAAAAATCGGGACTTTTTTGAAACGCTGCGGGACGCGGGACAAATTGCTAAAAATCGGGACTGTCCCGCCAAAAGCGGGACGTCTGGTCACCTTACACAAATAGGTTAATCCAAGTCTAGAATTTCTGAAATTATATTCCAGCATGTGTGTTTATTGAATAGAATAGAATAGAATAGAATAGAATAGAATAGAATAGAATAGAATAGAATAGAATAGAATAGAATTTGGCCAAGTGTGATTGGACATACAAGGAATTTGTCTTGGTGCATATGCTCTCAGTGTACATAAAAGAAAAGATACTTCATCAAAAATCATAAGGTACAACACTTAATGATAGTCATAGGGTACAAATAAGCAATCCGGAAACAATATCAATATAAATTGTAAGGATACAAGCAACAAAATTACAGTCATACAGTCATAAGTGGAAGAAGATGGGTGGTAGGAACGATGAGATTAATAGTAGTGCAGACTTAGTAAATAGTTTGACAGTGTTGATGGAATTATTTGTTTAGCAGAGTGATGGCATTCGGGGACAAACTGTTCTTGTGTCTAGTTGTTCTGGTGTGCAGTGCTCTATAGCGTTGTTTTGACGGTAGGAGTTGAAACAGTTTATGTCCAGGATGTGAGGGGTCTGTAAATATTTTCACAGCCCTCTTTTTGACTCTTGCAGTATACAGGTTCTCAATGGCAGGTTGGTAGCAATTGCTTTTTCTGCAGTTCTAATTATCCTCTGAAGTCTGTGTCTGTCTATTGCCATGATATGGAAGTGGGTTTCTGCTGGGATTTATTTTTCTAGTCTAATCTATAGCCTGCAGGGTCAGAGTGGTTTCTGTTCACATGTTAACCATAACTAATCCTGAGTTTCTAGAATAGTCAGGGCTGGCTAGCTATTTCCATCCATTGTAATTACCAATCAATCATATCTATCATATTGTGATATTTTTAATTAAGCCATGCAAAATGTTCAGCCATACAGTCATACCACTGCTGCTGATTTTGTTTACAAATATGTTGTTTTGTCAATCCAGCTACAGCTACCATGAATAGATAGGCTTTTGTTTCAGAAACCATATTTTAAAAAAGAGTGCATGAAATAAAGGAAAGACAAAATGGTGGCACAGATTATGGAAGGTTTTTTTCCCTACATGTACACATAGGAAGTACAATTTAGTACAATTAGCTTGTCAGATATTGACTTGTAAGATTTGCATCCCACTTTCATATAGGACCATAAATGTCAGCATGCATAATGTTTCCTTCTCCATTTTTTCCCCCTACAACAACCCTGTGAGATAGTTTGATCTGAGAGATAGTGAGTGAAGTCCCTCAGGCAGAATAACTGTTAAGCGGTCTCCTTGATCCTCGTCCACCTTACACTACACATATGCATGATGGCCAAAGAATAAGCACTTATTTCTAGTACCTGCTCTTAATGCATAACTACAAAATAGATGGATTAAGGGTATGTGTGTGAGAGAGAGAGAGAGAGGGAGAAGGGGGAGATGACATTCATATAAATGGTTGACATTACATTGTGTTGGAATATGATAAATATAATGAATGCTAAAATAATTGTAAAATATTTTTATATTCTCGGCTTTGTTTCTTCTTCTCCTTTTTTTCCCCTCGTACCTTCATGTGTATTTATAGATACGTTTACCAGCTAGAAGCCAGTACGTGGGGTGGTAGCAATATCAGTGAAAAATATATCGTCCAGACACCAGCAACAACACCAGAGGAGATTCACATACCATATAATATCACAGTAATTAATGCATATTCCATATTCGTAGCATGGGACATTCCTGGTAAGCATATGTATTAGTATTCAGAAGTTCATAGATAACTTATGTATCTGTTTCAGTTATTTATTATTTCCTCTGCTTGGTTCCCATTATATAAAGAGGCATACTTGGAAGTTGTTTTGATGCAAGGGTACATCCTAAGGCAGATATTAGGAAATGTTATCAATTCCATATAACAGCAATAGACAACCACCTTTTGGATTTTTCTACTTTAGGCATCAAAATAATTTAAGTCATCTGTAACAGATGATAAACTAATTAATGAAATAATTAAGCAATAAAATCAACTATACTCTGTTCAAATATAAAAAATGCCATATTATGGATTTAATTTAATGATGGGCATTGAGCTATACTAGTAGTTGTAGCTTCAGTCTATTTTAGTCTAAATTAATCAATTTATTAAAATTGGTTTCAGGACAGGGTGAAACAGTCACTGATAATCATGCTTCTTTTTGTTTCCTGTTCTATTGAATGCAATACATATTCAGTCATTATGACCACAAATTAAACACACACCGACAAAAGTTCAGAAAGAAAGGTAAAATAAATCCTAGGTTTTTTGTAATGAGAAGTAGCATTGCAAGATGATGAAGATAGATAGGAGAAAGAGAGAGAGAGAGAGAGATGCTTATAAGTAATATTGTTATTTATTTAAAAAAGTAATGATATATAACAAATTAGCTTGTTTATAATTTAGGATTTTAAAAAATCTATTCACTTCTGTTATAAAAAATATTCAAATATATTGATATGTATTGCTAAAAACATAATAACCATTTTAATATTCAGTATTTATCCCAAATGATTTAAAATATTAAAATATTTACACCTTGCACAAAGGTCACCGGGTGAAAAGATAATATAAAAACATTAAATATAAAGTTACCAGGTAAACATTTACATGCATGCTTGGAATAGTAAATATTATTGTATGTCCATTGAATCAATTCTTAATAGATCTATAATATCCTGAGCTGTCAATCTTTTAGTTTTCAGAAGCACAAAATCCATTATAGAAAAGCTATAATATATGAAAAAGATTAAAATCTTAAATTAAACTCACTCCCCTCCACCTGTACTGCCTAAAAGGATTTAAAAACCCAGGAGAAGGTGGATGAATTTGACTTATAATCTACAGCTGATTTCATTGGAAAGTGTCCTGTACTGCCTCAGTTTTGATAATAAGTTTCTATGAAAGCTTTGAATATTCACTCTAACAGTCCATTCTCTGTGTAAGCTAGGACCTAGCTAAAGCGATGTGTGGAATTTTTTTATGTGATCAGGTTGTTTACACCAAGAATTTTTAATTAAAAAATAGATGACATCTGGATGTCCTGCAAACATCTGGATGATCTCAAGCTATATAGAATATGCTGGTACTATTTGCCAAACATCTGAATTAACACAATTGTTCTGACCTAGCTCTCCAGACATGACAAATCTTCTGACGTGAACTCAAATGATTCCTTTAGTAGGAATGCCAGCAGTTCCGCAAAAAGTTTATCTCACAGGCTAACAAGTCCAGCCGGCCGGAAGATGAATAGTTGTCTGCCACACCTATTCATCTCTGCCCTCTTCCTTTTATTCCCAGAGGTAGGGTGGGGCCTCATTTGCAGCGATGGCTCGTCCTTCCCCAGGATCAGCCCACGCCTTTCCACTGCTCTCCCCTTCTCTGCCTTCTACACAGCTGCACATCAGGCACTGGACCCAGCTGTTCCTCTTCTTCATCAACCACCTCCCGACCTGGGGGCTGTTGGCTGTCCATCTGAGGGCTAACAGATGGCCCAGGCTCTGCCTATCTCCCTCTCTCCCTCTCTCTCTCTCTCTCTCTCTCTCTCTCTCTCTCTCTCCAGCTCGATTCCCTCTTCCCCCTTGGAGCTTCCAGGTTGCCCTGATGCTGGCCCTTACTTCCATGCCTCCTCCTCTGATTCGGCTGTTGGAGGGACCAGCGGCCGACAGGCCACAACAACAATCTTTATATGGTAACCCTGATCAAAAAGAAAAGCTAAGTTCTTTTGGATAAAAATAAAAACTTCCCTCTGTTCTTTCCTTTCCCTTTTATCTGTTTGAGTTGATATGTTTTAAAACTTAAAGATAAGAAATTACAGTAGATTCTCATAGTTTAGTGCACATTGCCATGCGGGAAGTGAATGTAAAATATCTGCTCCTAGGGGTATGGGAACAGATAATTACAGTCAGCTGTCATCTTTTGTTTTCTTTTATGCACTTCCTGGGGTGCCTGACAAGGACACAGATGGGGGCACTATAGGATCCTGGTTTGATCCAAGATTTTTCTACACTTAGACACGTTAATAACATTTGAAACAGAAACTTGCCCATCACTTTAAAAGGACAGTTCTGTTACCAGCATTTTTCTAAGGGAAGTGAAGAGAAAGGCTGATAAGAAGCTCTTGCTTAGAAATTAATGTGCTGAGTAAGTACAGCATAGTTCACTCGCACACCAAGAATTCAACCTTATCATTTTTTTTAATTTGATTTATATGCCGCCCTTCTCCGGAGACTCAGGGCGGCTTACAATGCATTAAGCAATAGCCTTCATACTTTTGTATATTTATACAAAGTCAGCTTATTGCCCCCACAACTGGGTCCTCAATTTACCTACTTTAGAAAGGATGGAAGGCTGAGTCAACCTTGAGCCTGGTAAGATTCGAACCTGCAGTAATTGCAGGCAGCTGATGTTAATAACAGGGTGCTTTAGACCACTGTACTACCAAGGCTCTTGACATGTGAAACAGCTGATAGCCATGTATATTTGTAAAGCTTGTGTGGATTCCCTGGAACACTGAACAACGTTGTAAAAGAAGAAATTACTCATAATTATTCTTTTAGGTTAAAAGAAGAACTTACTCATAAACTTACTCATAAGACCTTGTTCATAATTTCAATTTTGGTGTCAGTTTCTCCCTGTCTAGCATATCCACTTTCTTTGTCTGATGAAGTGTGTGATAAATATTGCATCTCCTACCAGATGTGATAGGTGAGGGCACTTGTCACCCATCCACAAAAAAGGAAAGCTACATCAAAAATCTATCTTCTTTAATCAGTAATTCCAAACAATAATGCATCTTAAGGAATGATTAAGCTTGTTGCTGACCATAAAGTGGATCCATTAGGCTTATTATCTGAAAAATTAAGTAGAAACATAATGTTTGATGAAGCAGGAAAGTTTTTTACAAAGATCCAATAACAATATAGAGATTTTTTAGATACAGAATGCAGATAGGCTGAGGATTTGTGGAGTGGTGTTGACCAAGAGATCAATAACTGAGAATTTGTCAAAAAAGATGGCACAAGAAAGTCTTTTTACAAGAATCCTGACAAATAGATATGAGGCTTTGCTATATCTAAGACTATCCATGAAAAGCTAAATTGTAAAGGAAAGGCAACCCATAAAATTGGGACCTGAGAAACTGCGGTACTGTGAAAAAGCAGGTGGTGATAGGAGCAATTGAAAGTAGTACAGCGTTCCTCCCTACATAATAGCTATTATAACATGAATTACACACCCTGCAGGAAGTATTCATGTCAGGTTGAATCTTATTTTCCTTAGAGTTTACTTTTTCCATGGATAATTCCTCTCTTATTCTTTTAATACTTTATATAGAAACGATATTTATTTATTTATTTTATTTTATTTCCGATTTCTATACCACCCTTCTTCCTGAGGACTCAGGGCGGTGTACAGCCAGAATTAAAAACATGCAATACAAATATTAAAAAACAATTAAAATATATATAAATTTGGCCCAAAAATTAAAAATCACAACCAATTAAAACATTTAAAAATTTCTTCCTAAACCAGCCCGGCTTGCTGGAAAAAATGGGTTTTAAGGGCACAGTGGAAGGCACTGAGGTCTTGGATTCTCCTTATCTCTGGGGGCAACTGATTCCAGAGGGTAGGTGCCCCCACAGAGAAGGCCCTATATTTCTCTCTTTTGAAATCAAGCTTTAAAATAAGGATTGGCAGTGATTCTCCCACTGAGATCGGTTATTTTAACTGATATTGTCTCCTAGAATAAAATTACTTTTTATTCATCAAATGTTAATGAGAAGCTAGTTGGTCACAGTATCCTTCTTCTATGAAAAGAAGCAACATTTTGGCATTTGATCTCCTTGTCTTCTTAATAAATTTAGATTGCATAAGGACCCATCCATACACATCGAGTCTCTTTTTATTTTACTTAGGATGTTTCAACCATAGTGGTATCTCTAAATTCCAAAGCTTTATAAATTTAATAATTCAAAAAAAACCTCTTACCAAATTGGTAAAAGTAGTGGTTTCATTAGTTAAGGAATGGAAAGATGTTTGAACCTATTTCACTTAGGCTGATAACGTGATTGAGATAGAGAGACCCCACTTCTACTTTACCCTCAGACATAGCAGTGGTCTGAGCGATCTTTCAGTCCAGTCTACCTCAAAAGCTTATTATTGTCACAAGCATGTAGACTTGCTGATGATGGCACTATTAATGATATTGACTTATTTTAAAATGCATTAATAGCCGTTTTTGTATGGTTGACAAGATTGATAATACTATGATATCTTTCCGTACTATCACCATATATTTCTTGAAAGGCCTGTTTTCTAATTCAAAAGCTAATCCCACATGAAAATTTAACCACAATATTGGATTTATTCCAGGATCTCACCACTTTTCTTTCAAAACTGTTTAAGGCTATTCAGTTTATTTTTCATATTAAGATTGTTTTGTTCATGGTCATTATATCAATCTGGCCAGCTAGAGAACTAAATGCATTGCAGGTAGCTTCACCATACCTAGAAGTATTATAGATAGATTCTCGTACCTAATACCGGTATTGTTCTATGAGAAAATTGTCATGAAACTTCCACCCATAATAATTTCTGATTTCCATCTTTACCAGCTATCCTTACTTTTTCCAACCTAAGACTGTTGGAACTTTTCCTCAAACTTTAAGTACTAGAATAAGTTTTGAGGGTTTATAAAACTGCATCTTTTTCTTGTTGGAAGAGATTTTTCTTTGGTTATAATGAAGCAGAGAAATGGCCTTCCAGTATCTTCTCAACATTTCACCCAACAGATTTAAGAGGTCATCCTTTAATGTTACAGATTAACTGAACTGCCAGCTCTTTGCCATTTGAACTTCTCTATAATAGTTCAGCTATCTCCTCTGCTCCACTAATTTCAGTACTTGCAGCATATAACCCTGTTGCTTGAAAACCAAAATTAAAAACTGGGCAAGCAGGCAAGTAATTGTTAACCTTGGTTAACAGCTGTTTTTTTTAAAAATAAATAATAAGCATTTATCAATCATTTTGCCTTCCTTCTCTATCTACAATTCCTGGTCTACTACTATGTGCTTGGTCTATATTTGTACAAAAAAGTTGCCAGATTGAGTATACAGAATTTTAGTAGCAGTCAGAACACAGTAAAAATTACACAGTGCATTGCTAATGTAAGATGTATCTAGAAATCTCATTTGCTTATGGTGATTTTGTTTTGTTTGAGAAAATAACATTTTTATTTGCCTATTTGGTATTAATCAAGTTACTTTAATAAGGCAGTGTAATATATTCTGGTTTTATGACAAGATAGGTATACAATAATAAATCTTAATGAAAACAAATATTTTCTTTTATATTAATCCAAAGCATGAAAACCCTTAAAGTGAAATTCTATAAGAATTAAAGATTGAATCTGAAACACCACCATTTCAGGTTTAATTGAGAAAATATATTTCAAAATTAATAGCTTCTATTACCCGTTGACTCTACTAATGTCTCTAATCAAGAATCTTGAACATAACATTTAAAAGCAACTATTTTTCTTAAACCTTTTCCTTCCAGGACATATTTGTTTTAAAATGAATACAGTATTGAACATTTCAAGATGCCCTTCGAATGACTTGTCCATTTTTCACTGTGTAAATACAAAGAAGAATGGCAGGGGACACCATCGAGATGCTGTTTGTTTGACTTGTCCTGTTACAAAATTTGCACTTGCCATGCAATGAAGTCATAAAAAAAAAAAAAGCAGAATAATTTAACTTTTTTAATTCATAAAGATAATCATGGTTTTCTGATTACATCTTAACTTCATAAATGTTAAATAACCTATCAGCATCTAGTTGTTGTAAATTATGAAAAAGAGTATTGCTGGGAATATTAACCAACTAAATCCTTGTTCTTTAGTGAACATGAAAATGCATTATGGCAGGTTGTCATTGTGCTCACGGTAACTTTGACACCAAATAACAAAACTGCCATTTGTACTTAGGGTAAATTAGTTCACTTTTGCTTTTACTGTTCCTTTCATTCTGACATAAATGTATGAACTCTGGAACTAACCAAGTCATGTGGTTTCCCCACTGAGTTTAGTCAGTCTGCCCATTTCATTCCATTCATTCATCAGAACATCAATGCTATAGTAGTTTCAAAATCACTGCTTTTATTTTAAAATATAGGAAGTTTTCTTCCAACCATTTCCAATTTCAATAACATTCTATGAACTTATTTTATTTATTTTATTACAGGGTCATTTAAGAGCAATGTACCTTTGGAGTACAATATATTACTAGATGCTGGCAGTACCGCCCCACTTGTAAAACCAGTTGGGCAGCCCAAATTCATTGTTCTGGATGGACTTGATCCATGCACCCAATATGAGATAAGGATACAAGCCTGCCAGAATGGTAAGATGTTAAGTAATTCCATTTTGTTATTGGAAGACAGTGCAATTTTGCAAAATATAGTCTGTTTAAATAACAGAATAACATCTTATTCCAAAATGTTTACCTAGTAAAAGCAAACCTAGGATTGAATCGTTTATTTTACACATCTCCATATTGTATCATGAATATTTCAATAGAAAATTTAAATAGTTCACATTTGGGAGAATGTCAGCCCTTTTTATGAAAAACATAAAACAAGGTGTTTTTTAAAATTGTTCTAGAAATACACATCGGAGAAAATCCATTCCCAATTAATGCTACATCAGTAATTTATATATCCCTTTTATTATTCATAGGAAACAAAAGGATAGCTCTCTCTTATTTAGAATTATAAGAAATGTATGAAACCTGATCTAATGGGTTTTGTTAACATGGGTACAGCATAATGGAATTCTTCAGGTGGTATTGAATATGAGACTGCCTTGGTCTCTGGGCTTCTGAGGCAAGTGGCATTCCTCCATTGGAAAACAAACTAAATCTTTGGAAAATCATCATCATCATCATCTTGCCCCAAACCAAATTGTTTCAAAAATATCTTGCATGGTCTGTATTCTAAAAGAAGGAATGTTGTAAATCATACATTGCCAAACAGATAGGACTTTAATAAGGACTGATAACTGAGCCGAGAACATGAGGTTGACATATGTTAAAAGAAACACAATTTTTGCCAAGATTTTTCAATTGGCTGAGTTTCAGAAAGCAAACCAGTAAGCAAGCAGGAATGAGTATTGCTTCTTATTTTTGCTTTCCCTTTGTTAAAGCAAAATGGAAAATGGTGATTTTGTGTCAGCTTACTATCTTACTTATCTATCTGTGTTATGAATGGACTTTGATATCAATTTATTTTATATATTTGAATGGACTTTATGAGGAATTGGATCAACACACCATATAGGGCAGAAACTAAGAAAGCAAATCGGAACTCATGTGTTCATTTGTCTGTCCTTGCGACTGCCATTTCTAAAAAAACATTTTCAAGAAAAAAAATGGCCATTTTTAGGCAATATTGTCTAGGCTCAGAAAGTAATAAGGATTAATTCTAGTTAGTATTTGGTTGGTAGATCTTCAGGAACCCTCCAAAACTATAGACAAAAGTAGGAAATGAAAACAGTCCTAGAAGAAATGGTAAAAGTCTTCCTCACTGTTGCCAAGAAAACTGCATGGGCATATCCAATTAAATTCAGCTTAAAGAATATTTTATTTCATTTACGTGTGTGTGTGTGTGTAAAAACTTCTAGAGCAGATGTTGGCAGTACAGTGAAAAACAATGCATGACTTACTGAACACAAATAGTTTGACAAGTTGAGTCTCAACAATATTGGGATAAAATTCTCTAGAATACCATAGCTCTAGGCTAGACTGGCAAATAAAGAAAACCCCTCAGAAAATAATCACAACAAGCTGCATTGATCTGTCTATGAAGATACCAAGGGCTGAGCTTGATTTGGAAGATGCTATGAATGGTATACTTTCCTTTCTTTCTTACTTACTTACTGAACTCTGATGAATAGTGTTAACTGCCCAGAGATGAGACAGGTAATGTAATGTAGAAATTTAATAGATAAATAAAATAATTTTGTCTGAACTTTCTACTAGAAGCCTCAAGACACTATATATTTAATTTTTTATTAATATGGTTACAATGATATGAAAGAGACATATTTTCATTAAGAAAGATTAGTTCTTGACTCTTTGACAATTAGAAAAGTACTTTGCATGCTTGAAAGGCAATATAATTCCTAAAATCTGGTTTGTATTCTTCTAGCTGGCTGTGGAGTTGGTAAACAAGTATATGCAACCACTGCTGAAGACTTTCCTAAAGATTTGAGCCCTCCTGTCATTTCAGCCATTGGACCAACATATATAGCTGTGAAATGGTTACCTCCTAAAAAACCCAATGGGATAATTAGAAACTACTTTATTTACAGGTAGTTCTTGAAGTTTTGTATTTTTAAACATTAAATATTATAGACCTCACTATGTAGTGGAAGCTTTCTGTAAAAGTGAGGGGTTTTTTTCAAGATGGGTAGGCCTAAGCAGTACACAAAACATCCAAATAAATGTCCCAGTGCTCCAGAAAGACACAGTGATTATGGAAGAAAGATTATTTCATCATTGCTGTTATAAAAAAGTATTTTAACATTACTGCTGTTTTGAGCGTTGACCATGAATTGCATTTTCAGCATAGCGAAAAGAACATTTAAACCAAGTCAACGAGCCTTCCTGAATGTAGATAGGTCAAATAGCTTTTTCAAATATGCATCATGCTGGATGCAGAATCTACATATGCATTAAAACTCTTCTGGCTTTCTTGTGCAATGTAATTCTTTTGTCAGCATTCATTATGATCAGATCTACTTTGGTGTTTTATCCACCAAATTCAACAAACTCCAATTAGAAGAAAAAGTCACTAGTATTGTGTACATGTTTCTACACTATTTTAAACTTGCACATAGCTTGCTTGCCCCAGACCTCTATGGGGGTTGTGGCAGAAAGCCTTCTGTCTTCATTGATTAAGAAAATTTAATTGATAACAATGTTCAATTGTTCAAGGAAGAAAAGCTGGTATGTTGGAGAAATTGTTTGGAAAAGGGGCAGCGACTCTGTAGAATCCAAAGTAATGAATGCAGATAGATGGTAAGCTAAGAGGAAAGGGAGAGAATGAGTGGAAAGCAGTTTGAAGAAAATAAATAGGAAGAACTAGGCATTAGCCTGAAAATCATCATTGCTATGAAAACATGATGGACCTATGGAATTGAAGGAAGGAGTGACAGGAAAAGAGAAATTGTTCCTTAGGCTAGGCCAGGTGTCAGCAACCTGCAGCTCCAGAGCCTCATGCGGCTCTTTGGGCCCTCTGCTGTGGCTCCCTGTTGGGTGATCCCACCACTGACTGGCCCCACCCAGTCACTCCTCACCTGGCCTGAGAAGGTAAGGGCGATGGCGAGGGATGGAGAAATAGCCAGGGCAAAGACAGAGAGATACAGAGAGAGGGGGAGAGAGAGAGAGACATAGAGAGATACAGAGACAGAGAGGGAGGGGAGGGGGAGGGGAGAGAGAGAGAGATGTCAAAAAGGTTTTGTGGTTCCCGGTGTTTTTTAACAACCGGTTCTCTGCCCTAATGACTGGCTGGGTAAGCGTGCCTGGGGGGGGGGTGGTCATGTCACTGGTGGAAGTGAGTGACATTAAGTTGGCCACACCCACCCAGGTTTTGTGGCTCCCGGTGTTTTCTTTTCTGTGGAAAACGGGTCCAAATGGCTCTTTGAGTGTTTAAGGCTGCAGACTCCTGGGCTAGGCAATAACTGCCAATGACACTGGCTTAGCAAGGAAGACAGAATTCAGGCTGATGTTTGAAATTGCGAGATCTTCATAGTGACAAAGGAACCTGGTCAAACTTGATTTGGCTGGCTCTGTCCTATTTGTCAAGGAGCAACTAATCCTGAAAAAGCAGTTGATGTTAGTATGTCTTTTTTTTTTTTTTGAACCAACTTGCTAGTAGTTTTGCTGAAGGTTCCTAGTAGTTTCTAAAATGCTGCTCGACTTGGAATATTTTCCCTTTTCTATGCTAATTGTATGACCAAATAAATTAAGCCTCAATTTTTTATAAAAGGAAATAAAGTATTTTTCATAGTCCAAAACACATTTTCATTTTGCTGATTTTGTAAACAACACTGGTGATTATAGTAGCAATTCCATAGCAGCCAGGGAAAGCAGGAAATATAATGCAGAAAGTGGAAAATATTGTAAATTGAATTTGACAGCATTTGATCGCATTTGATTATTCTAGTCACAGCCAAACAATGATATAAAGAGTAATATGAAACAGAATGTGTTACTGCCTAGCAGACTCAAAAGCAATAAACCTTCCTCCAATGTGACACAATCACTTCACAATCATAATTGTAGCCTGTTTGATACCTCGGAGTACAGCAGAAGGGCACTGACTGACATAGATACATTTTGTTTTTTATTTAAAGTGAAATGAAAATGGCGCACTGGGGCTCCAGATACAATCGTTATATTCACCTACATAGGCATGAATCACTTGGCAGTTATTTCAGCTGAAGTTTAAATGTGCTTAGACAACAACAATATCACATCTTTCTCAGATAGCTATGAAAAAAAAATCAGAAATATGTAAGGACAGAAATGGAATGTAAGCACAGCACTTTTATTCATGCAGTGTTCATACACAGTCTTAGACTGCTATAACAAAAACCCTTCAATATTTTTAGATGATGTTTTGCATGTAATTTCTGTTTCATCTTTTGCTGCCCTGCCTTATTGTCATTTGTACATTAAACTAAATTTATTTAACCAGCAAGTGAGTAGGCAGTTTTTCATTAAAACTGAAGGATCTAAATTTGCAAGGGTTTCGGCTTCTTCTATTCTAACCTTCATGATATCTCTCTCTCCTTACCCATCACAAATCTTTTTTTCCAAAAGCCTAGAGTCTTAATTGGAATAAAACTATGTGGGGGATGGCAATATTTATTATCCATTTATTTCTGTACCATAAACCTGTGTATATCTTGTGTGTATTTATGTGAGTGCTGCATATTTCCCTATGTAAAGCAAGCTTATACACAGAGAGAGATTTGATTACAGAATAAATACAAAATAAAGTCAATATGATAACATTTAAAAGCATGTTATCATAAGGTTGACTTGATTTTATATTTAACGGTGGCTAGAAGGGTATTTTATATTCAAAGTGGTTAGAAGAAGGTTTTTCCTTTTAGCAATATTTAGTTGTTCTATAGAGTGGAGAACAGAGGTGGGTTTCAGCAGGTTCTGACCAGTTCTGGAGAACCGGTAGCAGAAATTTTGAGTAGTTCGGAGAACTGGTAGTAAAAATTCTGACTGGCCCAGCCCCCATCTATTCTCTGCCTCCCGAGTCCCAGCTGATTGGGACGAAATGGGGATTTTGCAGTAAGCTTCCCCTGGAGTGGGGTGGGAATGGAGATTTTACAGTATCCTTCCCCTGCCACGCCCACCAAGCCATGCCCACAGTAAAAAAAATTGAAACCCACCACTGGGGGAGAAATAGTCAGGCACTGAATGATTAAAAGATGGGAATGGAGTTCAAGAGTTTCTCCAGACTGTAAAGAATAATGCAGAGTTAAGAGAGATCTCTGATTATTAGAACCACTTTCTGTCTACACTTCGGGATGTCTCCATATATTAGTGTCAGCCATTTCTAACGCACTTACCATTTTAATCAAAGTTACAAAGTATTTGTAAAGTGAGTGACTATAAAAGTGCATTCTCCTCTCCTATTTACCATTTACATGTGACCACTGGGTAAGCATATCCACTGCCATGGGATGAGGTATAATCAATATGCTGATGGTACCCAATTGTACAGATCTACCCCAGTGAATTATCAGGGAGGGGCTCTTCTGGAATGCAGCCTCTTGCCCATGGGGATCCACGTCCTCACTACATTTCATCGCATGCATGGTGTTTGCCAATTACACTCCCCAAGCTTCTTTTCCGACCTAAGGCTGAATGTGCAGAGGCCAAGGGAGAGCCTTTTATAATGAGCACGCAATTGTCACATGAAAAAAGCTACATGCATAGCTGTGCAAAAACCACAAAATTAAACTTCACACACTGACTCAAAAAATGACATCTTCCATTTTAATTTTTTTTTTAAAAAAAGCCCTTCTAATTTCAGAATAAACACTTCAAATATACTGGCTATGTTACTGGCTGTGCAGATTTACCATGGTAAAAATTGGAAATCCGACTACATATTTTAGGAGTAAGTCAGTGGTGGGTTGCCCCCAGTTTGGACTGGTTCGCAAGAACCGGTAGTAAAACCAGTGGGAGGCTCCTCCCACCATCCCAGATGTCATCATAGGCGATCTGCACATGCACAGAAGCTCGGCACAAACGCAATCCCATTGTGAACCGGTAGTAAAGGTAGGTAGAACCCACCCCTGGAGTAAATGGCAAGGCAAGCAAAGCATAGAAGCAGAGGCAAGTGACATTTCTTTAAAATGACATCTTTCTCCTTTTATTGCTTGCTATATTAGGAGAAAAACTTCCACTTAAATGAGCAGTTGAATTCTAAATACTCAGCCTTTTGAAATGATTAGAGATTGCTCAGACACTTCTGTTCGCAGTTTATTCATACAAGATATGCTGTCTTTTTAGCACTACAGATGGAACTATTTGCCTAAGCATAAGTTTCTTTCATTAAATATTCAGCAGTAATATGATCTAAACACTTTAACCAGGCTACATTGTTCAGCTTTTGCTTGTGGAAAAGCTCACAGTTGGTGACATTTTTGATATTTCAGTGCAGGGAAGCTGTTTCTTACAGATTCCCCATATTGCTAAACATTAATTTATAAATTCAGCAAACAGCTATTTTTTTAAGTGAAATGCTGTTCAGTGCAAACAGAACTACTTAGCATTAAAAAGAGGCTTGTGGTACTTAAAATGATTTTTTTCCCATTTTTCTTCAATGACTGATTTTTATAATCAAAACGAAAAGACTTCTTGCACTAAAATGTATGCTAAATACATATATACATGGAATCAGCTTTCAGTGGCAAGCAGAAAAAACATGGGTTTCTTTTTGTTGTTTGAGGTTTTTCCCTTACGTTTTCTAAATCATTATTCTAGTCCTCATCATGTAAATGAACCGAATTTAATGAAAATACCTTCAAAAGTCCAAGATCGTAGAACTCAAATCATTACTCACTTTTACACTAGATCAGATAAACTTTGAGGTTCTTGTCTTAAACATCTATTTAATGACTTTGTGTACACAGTAATTCGGCATTTTTATTCTTAATTAGAAAACCCATAAACCAGATTATTAATATATGCATCTCAGTGCGCACATTGTATACTTGTCTCCTACATATTAAACTCTCATCTAAATGACACTCATGAATAAAACACCAAGATAATCAATACATAATTCTTCTGGTAACATTTCAAACATTTTTCCATCTTACTCTTAAAAGGACCCTGCAATGATCACTTCTTTCTTTTCTTTTCTTTTCTTTCCTTTCCTTTCCTTTCCTTTCCTTTCCTTTCCTTTCCTTTTTTTAATGAAAAGGAGAATTCAGAAAGAGGTCAATGTTTTGGACATGAGGAGCACTTAGTGCAATCTTGTAGATCAGCATTAACATTTATCAGAGAAACTATACTAGATTGTGGTAGTTTTGAAATGTGTACTTCAGGATCCAGTTATCATATTTGAACTTGCCAATAACCATCAAATCTTCTTCTTCTTCTTTTTGGTCTGCCTTTCAGACGTCCTATGGAGACTCAAGAGGAGACGCTTGTGTTCATCTGGTCTGAGGGCACTTTAGAATGTATTGATGCTACAGATACTCTTCTGCCATTTACAGAGTACGAATACCGTGTCAAGGCTCAGAATTCCAAAGGTTCTGTGAATAGTTCATGGTCTTCAACACAGACCTTAGAAGCTCCACCATCAGGCATGAAAGCTCCCTCAGCACAAGCGATCAGCGCTCATTCTCTGTTCCTAAATTGGACCAGCCCAACTTCTCCTAATGGTGCTATTTCTCACTATCATGTTGTCTATCAAGAAAGACAGAATGATCCAACAATTAATACTCAGGACGTTACTACACTAACAATTCCAGTAAGTACTAGATTAACCAATCAATGTGTGAAGCATCTTTGGATTCAGTTTAAGCATTCAGAAATACTGTGTCAATCTCTTAGGATTTGTACATGTATTTCAAAAGACCTGTTCATTTAAACGTATCTCAGCTGTTTACTCTGTGAATTTCAGAAAATCATAGAATGTATATATGAGGGGAAATATAATTCTGATGTCAAAAGCAAACTTCCTTTGTCTCAAGCTGACATAGGCATCAATTTAAAAGAAATATTCCTCTGGTATAGAAGAGATAAAAGAACAATTCAGTAAAGATTTTGTTTTACCTGGTAATTTGATGCTTTTCATAAGCTTAATCAGTCACTATTGCTTATATTTCCCTATTTGTTGTGCACCAGATGTTTTGGACTACAGCTTTTGAAATGGTCCAGCGCAAGGTATGCAGTAGCCCTATCCTTATTGCCTTTCACATCTAACTTTTCCATTTTGAGAGGGAAGAGTTGACCAAAAAATGGAAAAAAGGAGCAATATCTTTGAGCTGAACTTGATTCCCAGTGACTGTATACATAGGGTTATATTGGCAATAATACATACATGATTTACCATTGCTTCTATCAGGGATATTTTTAACCTGTCTATCTAGTCAATTGCTTGGCATTGTTCAAGTATAATCCCTTTAACTGGAGTATGCGTAGTATAGGTGATAATGACTATCGCATGGGTGGACAATCTTCCTGAGCCAATAGGCATACCTGGTAAAACAACTTGAAGAAGTGGACTTGCCTTTAAAAAAAACCTGTTATTATGATGGCATGTTCTGTCCCAAATCACCTATCTTCCAGAAGGCAAATCAGTAAGGCTGCTCTCCATTCAACCGTTACCCACCCTTTCTCAGGATATTTCCTACCTTCCCAGTTTTTCTTTTTTATTGGCAAATAGACATGCTGCTAATTTCCTATATTAACTCTCCATTTGTGTTTTAGAAAAATTCTTACACAATCTATGAGGGTCTCAGAAGCATTTTGTAAATAGACGCTAGAGGCTTTGCAGTATGTGATTCTCCTATACGTTTCTTAATTGAGCAAAAGTGGTGAAGCACCCAAAAGAAACTTAGTTAAACAATATCGTTACCAATGGGCCAGCCCAGGGATAAGCATGTTTACTCAGAGGTAAATTCCACTAAACATAATTCTGGATTGTTGCCTTAAGCTTTGAATGTCTAGAATGAAGAGAGTCCTACCAAAATCAGATATTTTTCAACCCTTGAAATATAATTTTATCTATACACATTTACAGTGCATGCTGGTTTAAGCATGATAGTAAAATTAACATTAGCTTGACACCAATGATTTATGTTTGGTAATTAGGGAGATTTGCCTCATAACTCTTCAGAATCGGAAATAAATCAACTACTACAGAAAGAAAGAGCTTTTACATGATACTCATATACTGTAAGTTGCAAAGCTTAATAAACGCAGTAATCTGGAGCTGAATAGATATTATTACCTCAGAAGTGGAGTCTGTGACAATAATGTTGTGGCAGATCTTACATTTTATGTGCCACATTGATGAGGACAGAAAAGAACAGAATATTGATGGGCAGTAGGGAATAAAATAACAGAGAGGAGGCTCTTAGGTAAGGATTTTGACCAGTAGCAAGTGGAAGTGCTTAATGTAGCTGACTGCAGTTTTGATACTACAGAATTGTATAAAAAGTGACAGCAATTTTCAGAGCATGATAGCATATGTATTAAATATTTTAATTAATAGAGTTCTCAATGCATCTCAGTTTTTACTTTTTTTCTTAGTCATTGCTGTGTTAGAAGACTACTGAAGTATGTACTGTACATATTTTCTTTTTCTTTTTTTTTAAAGAGTTTGAGAAAATGCTTGTGACATGTTCTAGGTCTAATAGCAATAGCAATAGCACTTAGACTTATATACCACTTTACAGTGCTTTACAGCCCTCTCTAAACGGTTTACAGAGTCAGCATATTGCCCCCAACAATTTGGGTCCTCATTTTACCCATTTCGGAAGGAGGAAAGGCTCAGTCAAACTTGAGCCTGATGGGATTTGAACTTTCAAATTGCAGGCAACCGGAGAAAGCAGAAATAGCCTGCTGTAATGCACTCTAACCACTGCACCACTGAGCCGCAGCTAATCATCTCCTCATATAATTTGCCATAGGTAAACACTCCTTCTGATAGATGTACTGTAACATTATTTAGCATTTATTTTCCTTTTATTAATTTTTTATCCCAAATGCTAAATTTATAAGAATGTATCTTCATTGCACTTTGAAATGGGTCTGAAGGAAGTAAGTTAGAAATAATAATTAACCATAAATGTCTACTAGTGCAGAGGTCCCCACCTGTGGGCCACAGCCCACTACTGATCCATGGCCTATTCGCAAACGGGCCATGCCAGTGTGCATGCTCAGCCCCACTCACACAAGTGTCACGGGAGCTTGCAGCCCCACTCATGCAAGTGGCATGGCTGCTCAGGGCCCACTTGTGTGAATTGTGTGGGTGCTTCAGGGCTCATTCGTGTGAACATCGCAGGCGCACAACCGCACTCTCACAAGCATTGTGGACGCTCGTGGCCCTACCATGTGAGCAATGGGTGCCTGCGCACACCCACAAAAGCCCACCTGCCCTCCCACAAAACCATCCCCTTTTCCCCCTTTACTCCCTCTCTGGGCCACCAAACCCAAAAGTTGGGGAACTCTGTACTAATGTACAGAATTTTAAACTGTTCTTGTGATCCATGCTCCATTCTTAATCTCTTGCTTGAATTTATATTTTTAAAAGTATTACAGTTATAGTGGTACCTTGATATTCAACTGCTTTGAAACTCATCAAATTTGGTACTCAACACATTTTGATATGAAAATTTTGTCTCAGTACTCATTGTTTGCTTGGTACTCAACACACAAGCTAGAACTTGTCGGTGTCAGTTGCCCTGTGACTCACTGCATTATTTCTTAAGGGAATAATTTGTTTTGTATTCATCCTTTTTGGTACTCAAGGTGCCTTCCAGAACCAATTAACGATGAGTACCGAGATACCATTATATATATTTCTTTAGTTAGAGATGATGTAGAGATGGCTCATTTATTTTTTAGTGAATAAAGAAATCATAGGATATTTTATTTGCTCACCAATTTCTTATTCATTCTTACTATCTGCATTATATTTTGCCTGATCACTCAAGCCAAATATTATCAAATATTACAGTTAAATGGTGGGTTATGCTATAATGCTTCCAGTACTGCTAATGTTCCTATTGCAGAGGGTGGGATTTGTCCGTAGAATATTTATCTTGCTTCTTCTTCCAATCTGCTTTTGTGTCAATGGGGAGGAGAATCCAAGACATAATTGACATCAGTTCTTGTTGCTGATGGGATGGGATGTATCTGTTTTTGTAAATGTTTATTATCAATAGGTGATTATGTCTACCTCATTGCTTACTTGTGGATTTGTCTTGTTTCCAGATGATAGACCTTAAAGTGTCAGCATATCTTGGGATAGCCCATCATCCCCAAATGCCTACCTGTTCTTAATAGATTCCATGGCTGTACTTAACATTCCTTGGCAATTCACCAGTATACTAATGCAAAGTGACAGGATGGCTGGATAGGGGCTTCAAATGTTAAATGGCAATACTGAGGACAAGATATAATGGTATAACGTTAAAGCTGCAGACTATAATGTATAAAAATGCACTTTTATGCATTATGGGCAATATGCTAAAATATAAATAAAGAAAAAAGATCCTAGATACAGACCACAATTTATTCTTTGGGTTCAAAGATGAAGTAGATAGAATGTTCAGGCCACCAAACAAAAGTTACTGTATTTTTCGGATTCTAAGACACACTTTTTTGTCTTCCAAAAGGGGGTAGAAATGTCTGTGCATCTTATAGACTGAATATTGCTAAAGCCCCACCCACCAGCCAGCCATTTTTTGGCCTCTGCATGCCCTTTTTTCAGGCCTTTTTTTGGTCTGTTTTCAAGGCTTTTGGGGGCCGTTTTTTAGGCTTTTGTGGGGCATTTTTGAGGCTATTTTGGCCTGTTTTGAGGGGTTTTTTGGCCCATTTTTGAGGCTTTTTTCAGCCCATTTTTGAGGTTTTTTTCAGGTGTTTTTTTCTGAAAAAATGGGCTAAAGAAAGCCTTAAAAATGGGCTGAAAAAAGCCTCAAAAAACAGGCCCCAAAAAGTCCTGAAAAAGCCCAGTTTACATAGACTTCTGTAAAGCTTTTGATTCAGTGGTACATGACAAATTACTTCTAAAACTAAAATCCTATGGCATTTCTGAACTCCTACATAAATGGATAGCTGCCTTCCTGTTAAACAAACAACAAATGATCAAAATAGGAAGCACTCTATCAAATCCTGTACATGTTAATAGCGGTGTTCCCCGAGGAAGTGTTTTAGGTCCAACACTCTTCATATTTTACATAAACGACCTTTGTGATCATATTAAAAGCAACTGTATTCTGTTCGCTGATGATGTTAAACTATTCAACACCATCGACAATGCAACTACTCTTCAAAAAGACCTTGACTAAGTGGCAGCTTCAAATCTCAACCAACAAATGCTCTGTCTTGCACATTGGCAAAAAAAATCAAAACATAAAATACAAATTAGATGGACATGACCTTGTAGATGACCCTCACTCTGTCAAGGACCTTGGTGTACTTATTTCTAAAGATCTAAGTGCCCGATCCCACTGTAACAACATTGCCAAAAAGACATTAAGAGTTGTTAACCTAATCTTGCGTAGCTTCTTCTCTGGTAATGTTGTACTACTAACTAGAGCATACAAAACATTTGCTAGACCAATTCTAGAATACAGCTCATCTGTCTGGAACCCGCACTGCATATCAGACATAAATACAATCAAGAGAGTCCAGAGATATTTTACGAGAAGAGTCCTCCATTCCTCTACCTGCAATAAAATACCTTATGCCACCAGACTCCAAATTTTGGGCTTAGACAATTTAGAACTACGCCGACTT